CTCCCTGCCATTCCCAATTCTTTCCCAGACTGCGGGCAGGGCTCCCCGTCGCAGGGGGAGCTGCGGGAGGAGCTGGAGGACGCGATGCGCGTTGCCGAGCGCTTCACCCGCCGCTACGACTCCCTGCTGGGGGCCCTGCAGGAGGAGCTGCTCAACAGCACGGCCCTGATGCAGCAGCTCAGCGACCAGTTCGGGTGGGTCACACGGCTCGCCAACCTCACCCAGGGCACCGACGGGGCACTGCGAGTCACCACGGTGAGTCCTGACCCTAAAAACCCGAAATCTGACCCTAAACCTGACCCCAACCTCACCCAGAGCACCGACGGAGCCCTGCGTGTTACCATGGTGAGAGCCTGACCCTAAAAACCCTAAATCTGATCCTAAACCTGACCCCAACCTCACCCAGGGCACCGACGGGGCCCTGCGAGTCACCACGGTGAGACCCTGACCCTAAACTTGACCCTGACCCTAATCCTGACCCTAACCCTGATCCTGACCCTGATCCTAACCCTGTGCATCACCATGGTGAGAGCCTGACCCTGACCCTAAACCTGACCCTGACTCTGACCCTGACCTCGCCCAGGGCACCAACACTGCCCTGTGGGTCACCATGGTGAGAGCCTGACCCTGACAACCCTGACCCTAACCCTGATCCTAACCCTCCACGTCACCACGGTGAGACCCTGACCCTAAACCTGATCCTGACCCTAATCCTAATCCTGATCCTGACCCCAACCTCACCTAGGGCACCAACAGAGCCCTGTGCGTCACCACGGTGAGAGCCTGACCCTAAACCCTAATCCTGACCCTAAACCTGATCCTGACCCTAACCCTGACCCTAATCCTGACACTAACAACCCTGACCCTAACCCCAACCTCACCCAGGGCACTGACGGGGCCCTGCGTGTTACCATGGTGAGACCCTGACCCTAAACCTGACCCTGACCTGATCCTGACCCCAAACCTGACCCCAACCTCACCCAGGGCACCGACGGGGCCCTGCAAGTCACCACGGTGAGAGACTGACCCTAAAAACCCTGACCCTGACCCTAAACCTGATCCTGACCCTAACCCAACCTCACCCAGGGCACCATCCCGGAGCTCCCATCCCGGAGCTCCCATCCCGGAGCTCCCATCCCAGAGCTCCCATCCCAGAGCTCCCATCCCAGAGCTCCCATCCCGGAGCTCCCATCCCAGAGCTCCCATCCCAGAGCTCCCATCCCACAGCTCCCATCCCTGTGCTCCCATCCCAAAGCTCTAATCCCAGAGCTCCCATCCCACAGCTCCCATCCCAGATCTCCGATTCCAGAATTCCCATCCCACAGTTCCCATCCCGGACATCCCATCCCAGAGCTCCCATCCCACAGTTCCCA